AGTAGTTAGAGGTGGACTTTTGAGAGATAATTAGGGCTGGACAAGGTCATGAAGGTGTGGCCCTCATGATGGGACTAGTGCCTTTGTCAAAAGAGACATCAGAAAACTCACATGTTCTCTCTTTTGCTCTCTCTCCTCTCTCTCTCTCTCTCTCTCCCAGAGCTCAGAAGAAAGGCCCCGTGAGGACACAACAAGAACACAGCCATTTATAAACCCAGAAGTGTGCTCTCACCAGGAACCGAATCATCTGATGCTTGATCTGGGACTTCCCAGCCTCCAGAAAGTGAGAATAGACGTCTGTTGTTCAAGTCACTCAATCGATGTCATCCTGCTGTGACATCCTGAACTATTCACCTGTTTATATCTGTCCAAATGCGGCCTCTCTCTTTGCCCAAATTTAAGAGTTATAATTTCCTTGATTTTCTTTAGAATTTACGTTTTATAATTAGTTTTGCTTGTATTTGAACTTCATGCAAATGGAATTATAGTACTTTTTTTTTTATTTGTGTGACTCGCTTTTTACTCTCATTATCATGTTTGTAAGACTTCTTTTTTTTTTTTGAGATATTTTTGCTATAGGGCGCATGCACCAGCCAGAGAGATAAAGAGAGACAGAGAGGCAGAAAGTGAGAAATCACCCTCCCAGGACAGATGGCCATGCCACAATCCCTTCTCCGCCATTCTCCCTAGATTTTGGGCAGACATGCACCTGGCATGGGTTTTAAGTCACTGGGTCCAGGATTCAAACCGTGTTCGACTACGGGGGAGTCCAGTGATGTCCAGTGATGATAAACTGTCTGCTGGTCCCAAGATGAATGCAGGTTGAGTATGTATTTGTAGTTCTTTTGTTTTCCTTAATGTGTAGTATTTTTAGTACAGGCATACCACCGATTATATATTTCGTGGGAGGCTGCTAACAGCTTTCTCGGGTGTGTATCCTGGTATGCAGAAGAACACACATATCTGTATCATCCTAGTTCATTTCTGTGTTGCTTACGGAAATACCTGAGACTGGGTGAATTATAAAGAAATAGAGGTCTGGGACCAGCAGGTGGCGTAGTGAGTAAGGCACTAGACTCCCACTAGTCGTCAATGGTTTGAGATCTGGACCCAGCGACTTGAAACATGCCAGGCACATGTGCGTGCTCTAGCGACTTGAAACTTATGCCGGGCACATGTGCGTGCATGCCCAAAATCTGGAGAGAAAAATGGTGGCCATCCCCTGGGCGGGGGGTGGGGGGAGTGATTTCTCAATTTCTGTCTCTCTCTGTCTCCTTGATGAGCACACATTCCCTATGCCAAAATCTCCCAAAAAGAAAGGAAGAAATACCTTGATGAGCACACATGCCCTATACCAAAATCTCCCAAAAAGAAAGGAAGAAATACAGGCTTATTTATCCCAATTCTGGTGGTTGGAAAGTCCAAAGCCATCATGAAATGCTGGAAAGCAAAACTTCGAGCAGAGTAGTGTGATCTCTACTTGCCTCATTTCTTCTCCTTAAAGATATACCAGAAGCCAATGAAGGGAATTCTTTCCTAAGAACTCTATCACACCCAAAGACCCCATCCTGGGCACCATGAAGGGAGAAAGTCTTCATTTAACACCTTCACAGTATGATGAGGCCCCATCATGTGAATGTCTGGGCGATGTCCAGTCACCTAGTGGGCTAGGACTAAATTCCAAAATTGAACGTTTGGGGGATAAACTATTATCTAAACTATAACATACCTTCAGTTGGAATTTCCAGGAACTTTGTGTGTATATTTTCGACCTCATTAGATAATACCACAATTTTCCAGAATGGTTGTATTAGCTTACATTCTTACTAGCAGCGTATGAAACTTCCAGTTGTTCTACAACCTCACTAATGTTTGGGATTGTCAGACTTTTACATTTTTCCAAGCTAATGAATATATTGTATTATTTCATTGTAGTTTCTCTTTTCTTTACTCATAGTAGAATGTGTGCACATGACAGAGAGCGCTCTCATCTCAGGATCTGACCATGCTACCATCCCCTTCCTTTAGCCCTCCAGCTCATCGAACCCTGGGCACCTGTGGGTGTCCCTGGTGTATTCCAGGTGACCGGGATGAGGGTCTGAGCTGTAGTCACTGTGTGGATTTCAGCTTCTCTTGAGCAGTGCGTTACTTAGCACTGTGCCACGGAGCTACCCTTCTCGTTGTAGTATGAGATGGGCATATTTTCATGTTTATTAGACATTTTTATTTCTCCTTTGGCAATGATCTTTTCAAGCCTTTTGACCATTGAGAAATAGATTATCTGCTTTTTTCTCACTGACTTGTAGGAATCATTCATGTAATTTAGAAAGTAGTCCTTTATCAATTATGTATGTTGCAAATGTCTTTTTTCATACAGTAGCTTGTCTTTTTACATTCTTTCTCTCACTCTTATTTATTTATTTATTTCAGAGGTTTTTGCTATTGGGCACATGCACTCGCCAGACAGACAGACAGAGACAGAGAGAGAAAGCAAGAAATCACCCCCCAGGGGGGGATGGCCATGCCACAATCCCTTCTCCTCCATTCTCCTCTTGGGTTCTTGGGCACACATGCACACGCGCCCAGCGTAAGTTTAAGCCACTGGGTCCGGGACGTGGATCGCAGTTGACTACGTGGAAGTCCAGCGTCATAGCCATTACGCGCTAACTGCTGGTCCCTTATTTTTTAATTTGCAAGAGGGTGCAGTTGCTGGAGAGACACAGAAAGAGAAAGAGAAGAGAGAGAGAGAAGGAAAGTAAGAAAGCACACACCTGCTCCCACGCACACTGCGATCCTTTCTCTATTTCTCCTTCCAGAATTTTGGGCACACACATATATACCCAATGCATTTCTTCTCAAGCTGCCAGATCCAGGACTTGAACCACATAGTCAGTTGCCTTAACCACCACGTCACCGACTGGTTTTCTTGAATGCCAGAGGGCATGCACACTTGAGAGAGAGGAAGTGCCCTCCAGTGAGGCGTAGCGATGCCGCTGTCCTTTCCCCTTCCTTTTCTCCATCCCATCAGGATTTGGGGCATGCGTGCACAAACACTCGGTGAGTTTTTCAAAATACTGGGGCCAGGAATTGAACTGTGACTGGCCATGTAGGCTCTGACTCCTGCACCTAACCACCTCACTACAAGACTGAAGCTCTTTTCACTCCTTTTTTTTTAGTTACCAGAAGGTGTTTTTTGCTCATCAGACAGAGAGAGAGAGAGAGAGAGAGGGGGGGGGCACAGTAATACTTCAATCCCTTCTCCACTTCTCCATTCTGTTGGGATGTGGGGCTTGCACTGGTATGTCCCTTAAACTGCTGGGGCTGGGACTCGAACCATGGTAGGCCATGTGGGATATAGCTCCCTTTACCACTAGACTCTGGAGGCTGCCCATATTTTTATTTATTAATTATATATATATATATATATATTTGCCATAGGATGAGTGTGCTTGCCAAAGAAAGACAGAGAGCAAGGGAAAGTGAGAAATCACTCCCTACAGGGGATGGTCACACTGCCGTCCCTTCTCTTCCATTCTCCTCTTGGGATTTTGGGCATGCACACACATGGGCCTAGCATGTTTTTCAAGTCATCGGATCCAGGACTTGAACTGCAGAGTCAGCTATGTGGGATCCAGCACCTTAACCACTGTCCACTTGCTGGCCCTTCCTTTTCTCTCCTAAAACTATGACAGGTTTATCTTTCATACTTGATACTCAACTGTCCTGAAAAAGATTTTCATAAATGGTGTGAGAAAGGGATCAAGTTGGACTTTTTTCTATAAAGAAATCAGTTGTTCCACTCTGTCTTCCCTCCACTTTGACAGCCGGGGTTGCTTTTAGTGCCTAGAAGCTGCTCTCAGCCCCCTTTCACATGCCCTCCTCTGTCTTTAAGCTGCTCACAACACGATGAATCCTTCCTACACTTGGAATCTCCCTGACTTCCTTTTCTGGAGAAAATGCTCTTTCTTGAAGAGCTCATTTGATGAGATTAGGCCTACCGGGTACTTTCTCCATTTTAATATCAACTGATTAGTAATTAGACCTGCAAATAACTTTTGCCATGTAATCACATAATCAATCACAAGATACAACCAGAGGGTGAAGATGCTGGGGACCATCTTAGAATTCTGCTTGGGACCAGCAGTTAGCGTAATGGCTATGTCGCTGGACTCCCACGTAGTTGACCGCAGTTCGCGTCCCGGACCCAGCGGCTTAAACTCACGCTGGGCGCGTGTGCGTGCGTGCCCAAGATCCCGAGAGGAGAATAGAGGAGAAGGGATTGTGGCGTGGCCATCCCCCCTGGGGGGTGATTTCTTGCTTTCTGTCTCTCTGTCTCTCTCTGTCTGGTGAGCGCACGTGCCCTATAGGAAAAAAAAAGTCCCCTCCAAAAAAAAAAAAAAAAAAGAAGTAGGCATTATTTGGATGGGTGGGAGGATGACCTACAGTCTGTGTAGACAAGACAGTGAGCAAAGGTGCCCTCTGGGATGGGATCAGCCATTTTGGATGGGAGTCAAGATTTAAGTGGCTCTTAGAGATAACTTAGTCAAACACTTTTGTACTTATTTAGTGTTCTAATCCTCTGTGAAGCTACAACTTGCCAAAGATGATCAAAGTGAAAGCACTTTGAACTCTCTGGAATAAAAGGTGATATTAATGCATAGTTTTCTTAATTCAGGAGAAAAATTCTCATAAGAAAATGCTCTTGGGGCCAGCAGGTGACATGGTGGGTAAGGGCACTGGACTCCCACATGGCCAACTGTGGTTCGAGTCCTGGGCTTGGAGGCTTGCTTTCTCACTTTCCCTCTCTCTTTCTCTCACTCTGTCCCTCTCTGGTCAAATTACAATAAATAAGATAAAGTTCAATAAAATAATTTTAAAAAGAAAGAAAGAAAATGCTCTTAATTTGAAAAAAGTCCTCTCATAAAAACTACCTTGGGTCCTTGAGAGAAAGAGTACCTTATGGAATTTAACACACACACACACACACACACACACACACACGCACACACACGCGCTGTCAAAATAAAACAAGAGCTCTTTATTCCATAGTCACCTAACAGCACTCTGGGATGATGTGGAGTTTTAGCCGGCAGTCCTTGGAGCTGCTGGAGTTTCTCCTCATCCCACTTGGGAGGTGGACATTCCTTCAGCTTCCTTCATTACCCCACGTCAAGACCTATGGCTTCTACATAGCGAAGCCTATGATCTTGGCACATAATTGGTAAGCACATCATAGACTCTGACAGTATCAAGTGTAACGTGGGAATGGTGGCAAAATACACCCACCATGATGACCGTGGGATGACAGCCCTAGGTAAAAGCCTACCAAAGGCAGGAAGGTCTGGAAGGCTGAGGGTATAGCAATATTACAATGAGATGACGAGGATGGTACACACAAGCTGAAATCTACTGACCAAGGGCCCTGAGGGGCAGTTCCACTGTGGGAATGGCTCACAGTTTTCTGGGAGACCTTCTGTATGCTTCTGTGCTTCAGGGTCTACGTGCATGAAAATGACAGAAGGCTGGCTCTGGCCACTGTCCTCGGGGTAAAGGAGTCTTCTCCCCCAGATGCTAAATTCTGCCGGTCTGAGGGAGCTCCATGCCTACGGGACTGCTGAAAGACAGTTTTAGCTAAGGACCAATGGGAGGAACCCATAAAATGTGGTATCTGCTAGGCCAAACCCTTCAAGAGATCTTGCTGGGAGGGGAATTGGACACAACCCTGAGGTCAATTCTATGGCATTAAACTGGGACATTCCCAGCCTGCTCCTCCCCTGGGGGGCTTAGAATAAAGAGCTTGATCCTGATGACTTATCTTCTCTGTTCCTTCATAGATCAGCAAGTGAGGGGTGGGGTCTCTGGAGGAGCAACACGCACAGGATGGGCTGGAGGACCTCCAGGAGGTGCTTTGGCAGAAATCAGTATTTGAGAGGCACATGGCCTAGGCGTTCAACTTTTTGTAGTGTTTCCTGAAGGTGGCTGCTTCACTCGCACTGCCTGGGGCCACCGAGGCTGGCTCTTCACAGCTCTGGGGCCACCAGGAGCTGCTCTGAAGTCTCACTCAGAATCCACGGCATGGTTGAAGGCATGCTCAGAGCTCCTCTTCATCCTGGACACTGAGCACAGGTACACCAGCAACGCCAGACACAGCACGGTCACCGCCGTGAAGAAGGCAATGGTGCCCACAAAGACAGGCGGCCGGATGGGCAGGCGGATCAGGGGGCTTTCTGCCGGGATCTGGTTGGTCAGGCTGAGCATGTAGCCGAGAGACCAGGCTATGCTGCTGTTCGCCACCTGTGGAGGAGAGGAGACGGCTCAGTGGTCAGGGCTCACGTGACATACCCAGGGCACTGTCAGCCTCACCAAGCTCCCACAGGAAACTGGCCTAAGGAGGTCAAAGGACTTGCCCAAATTAAAAAAGGCATTGTGGCCACAAAGGCTCAGAGATCTCACCTCCGGAACAGCAAAGAAAACCCAAGAACAGATTTTCCCAACTGTGCCATAGCCAACTCTGAAGAAGGCACAATTAATAACAGAGAAGGTATTTCCAGCATGCAGGGGGATGGGACTGTGTGGGGCCACAGAAAGAAGAATAAGTGCAGGGACCAGCAGTTAGCGTAATGGCTATGTCGCTGGACTCCCATGTAGTCGACCGCGATTCGTGTCCCGGACCCGGTGGCTTAAACTCACGCCAGGCGCATGTGCGTGCGTGCCCAAGATCCCGAGAGGAGAATGGAGGAGAAGGGATTGCGGCGTGACCATCCCCCCTGGGGGGTGATTTCTCGCTTTCTGTCTCTCTGTCTCTCTCTGTCTGGTGAGCGCACGCACCCTATAGCAAAAACCTCTCCAAAGGAAAAAAAAAGAAAAAAAGAATAATAAGTGCATTATTGACTCAGCAATGGTTTCTAAAAACAGCATCACTCCAAAGAGAAGTACATGCTCAGTGTCCTGGTAGCTCCATCCACTGTTTTCTTTTTTTCCAGCTGTTATAATGGTTATATACCTGTTTCAAATTTGCAATCTCCACAGTACTTGAACCCTCTATCATTATGCTATAACCATCTCTATCTTGAATGACACTCTGTCTTAAAAAAACATTTTGTTGGGGCCGGCAAGTGGTGTGGTGATTAAGGGCGCTGGACTCCCACATGGCTGACTACGGTTTGAGTCCCAGACCTGGCAACTTGCTTTCTCACTTTCTCTCTTTCTCTCTCCTCACTCTGTCCCTCTCTGATCAAATCTAAGAAATAAAAAGTTGGGAACCAGCAGTTAGCATAATGGCTATGTTGCTGGACTCCCACGTAGTTGACCGTGGTTCCTGTCCCGGTCCCAGTGGCTTAAAACTCACGCCGGGCGCGTGTGCGTGCATGCCTAAGATCCCGAGAGGAGAATGGAGAAGGGATTGCGATGTGACCATCCCCCCTGGGGGGTGATTTCTCGCTTTCTGTCTCTATGTCTCTCTCTGTCTGTCTG